TCACCAAAAATGAGACAAAACAAAAAGCTGCTCGATACGTAAGTATCGAAGCAGCTTTTGTCTCGAATCATCACGAGTAGGGATTGGAATCGGTTTAGTCGACTAAACATAGTAGCTTACTATAAAAATTTTTTAGTCGACTAAACCGATTCCAATCCTTAATCACGAGACCAACATGTGATATCTCCAGTCTAATGGAAAGTTTGAATAATTAGTTGAGTTAAAACGAAATTATAAGACATTTAAACCTAATTTTTTTAATAAAAAAATTCTTTATTTTTATTTATTAAAATTAATAATAGCAGAAATAACAAAATTTAAATTAAGAAACCATTCTCTGCAACCTAATTAAAAATGCTTTTTTTAACTCTAACCCTAACCCAGTCCCAAACTACAATGTTGAATTCTCAGTAAAAATTACAAAAGGAAATAATTTTTGTGGGTGTGCTATCTAAAAAGTTAAGCAACATTGATCTCAATGTTAATTTAATGTTGATCTAAAGAACCAAAAGAATACAAAAAAAGCATCACCAAAATGATGGAGACCACTAAAAGAATGATGAAAGAGCCACAAAGAAGTAACAAAAGAATACCAGAAAAGCACCAAAAAAATAACAAAAAATCCTAAAAAAGCAATGAAAGAAAATGTTGACCTAAAAAAAAAAACCACTAAAAAGTATTAAAAAGAATGAACCATCAAAAGAACAATCAAGAAACCACTAAAAGAATGATGAAGAATGATGAAGAATGATGAAGAATGATGAAGAATGATGAAGAATGATGGAAAAACTCCAAAAGAACGACAAAAGAGCCACAAAGAAGTAACAAATAAGCACCAAAAAACCACAAAACAAGAACGGGAAATTAGCACCAAAAAACGACACAAAAGAAATTGGTCGCTAGGGTCTTACAGGAGACCCGTTACTTCTTACCCGGGTTGACATAACTGCAACCCGACCCACCCGCGGGTGACCTGGGTGATGCCTATCCGGGTCCAAAGAATAAAAATCAATATTTTTTAAGAAAATCTTCCAAGCAAAGTTACTGTTATTCGGAATAAATTTTTTCTCATATCGATTTATCAAATAATTAATTACAAAGCCACTTGTTCAATTAATAATATGTGCGCATCTGAATATTGATTCAAATAAAAATTTATAACTTAATTTACAAAATTTCATGCCATGATCTTATTTAATTGATTATAAGACGAATATCTTAGAAATATTTAATAAAAAGACTAGCATATTCAAATATTGAAGCATAAAATTTTATTCTTCAATTCACATAAAGTACCATATATCCAAAAATATATAAAAAAAAAAAAGTATTACTGTATTTATAAAAGTTCAAAGGAAAATGTAAAAACAAAGTATTATTTATAAAGGAAACCAAGGGAAAAAGCATCATAAAAGAGTCAAAAATATGTACAAGAACGCAAATAAAGTGTGCGTATAACATTCAAACTGTCATCAAGCAATTCATGTCTCTTTTTCTTTTCCCCCTTTCTTTTTAATTTTTATCTTTTTTTTTTGTTTTTCTGCTTTTTGTTTTTTTTTTTGTTTTGTTTTGTTTTTAAAGAAAAAAAAACCCCATTTTTACCTTACACATCTTTTAATAAAGCTTAAATTGAATACTCTGGCTTATATATTTGCTAAACCTTTAAAAGTGAGTACCAAATTGAAGACGCTATTGTCTGGAAAGAGCCGATCGTTTAGATCCCTTACGCCTTCCGGCTGTTATTGATTCTATTTGTGTATTCGGATGTTCGATACGTGTATGATCTGAAAGTGACATCGGCTTGTTAAATATTTGTTCACATCCCTTAACGTTACATTTATAACGTGGAAAATGATTGCCAAAATCTTGATTACGGAAATGTGCGCCAGAAGTAGAAAGTGATAAAAGCGTATCCATTCCGTTTGTAGATGGGTCACTTGAATCACTTCCCATGATATGATGTTCATCAAAATGTGGTGGATTCAAACCTAATAAATTTGGAACAGAGATGGCATCAGGAACTGCAGGAAGCGTGAAAGAAGGCGGATTGGATTCATGTGATTCAGATGGTATAAATCCATCAGTAGGTGTCCAATGTTGTATATCATTATTATTAGAGGTAGTATCATCCATTGGGCCAGTAACATCCAATGTTGAAGATTCTGGTTCGAATCGTTGAGCACTCGAAGAAGCCGTTATTTGAGTTCCACGGTATTTATCGCTTTCCTTTCCATGAATGTGTTTTTGATGATATTGCAATCCATTGGGAGTTCTATAGCTATTCTTACAACCAGCTACTTGACATTTATGTGGTTTAACAACTGATTCAGGAGATCCTTCCTCATTATTATCGCATTGATGCCCAGACGAACCTTTCGCATTGGCGATATGATATTGAAGACCATTAATATTTTTATAACTTTTACAACAACCTGGTAATGCACAACGATACGGTTTTTCTGAATTACTAACGTTGGGATGTGCTGCTTTCATATGGTAATATAACCCATTCGAATTTGAAAAATTAAGTTCACATCCAGGGACACCGCATCCATATGCCCGGGTAGTTGTATCATTTTCAACCTCCATTGAAGCCGGAGGAGGTAAAGGCACATGATCCATATTCATTTGTGTATTTTGCACATTTACATTTCGCACGATGTTCTGCATATTTATTGTCTGCTGGTTCATGGGCCCATTTACGTTTGGCGATGACAAGAGTGAAGCAATACTAGGACCACAAGAAGTTGTTGAAGTAACCAAATTTGCCGCTGGTTCAGATGATAAATCTGACTCTAAGACAGATGTTGAATTTTGAGATAATATGTCTTGAGATACATTAGATGGTATATCTGTAGGCAAATGTGGTTGTTGTACATTCAATTGCTGCAGGTGCGTCTGCGAACTCGGCTTCATACTCTGCGATGTATTATATATTGTCGGAGCCATATGATGTTGTAAATTTGGTTGTAAATTCGATTGCAAATTTGATTGTAAATTTGATTGCAAATTTGATTGCAAATTTGATTGTAAATTTGATTGTAAATTTGATTGCAAATTTGATTGCAAATTTGATTGTAAAGACAAGTCAGGAGATAAAATAGGTGAAGTAGTGGGAGATATATCATCTGGAGTTATAATTATCATATCCAACGAGGGCTCCTTTGCTGATTTTTTCGTCCTCTCGATTTTTCTCCATCTATTTCTACAATGTAATCCAGGACGTCCAGGAAAAAATTGCGATATTTTTTGCCATTGAGTACCCAATTCGGCATATTTTTGCATTAACAAAAGATCCTCCTGATCAGTCCATTCTGTATGGTCGATTTCTGGATCAAGGCATTCTTTCCAACGCTTTGCACATTGATCATCCGTCCTACCCGGAATAGATTCAGCAACTTTACACCACACTTTTTTATGCTTTTCAACAGCCTTCATCAATAATTCATCCTCCTCTTTGGTCCATGGCCCTTTTCGTAAGTTTGGATCAAGAGAGTGAAACCAACGTTTTCTACACATCTTATTTGTTCTATTAGGAACACATGCTGCAATCTTTGTCCATTTTTCAGATCTATCTCCATAAAGTTGAACTGCCAAACGTAACAAATTATCTTCCTCGACCGTCCATGCCGTTTTATCTGTTTTTACTTTATATCTTGGTCGAGAAGAACGAATAGTTTGACCAGCCTGAGGAACGGACGGGGGATCAGATATAGGAGGAAGAATAGGAGGCAATTTATTTGCAAGAGTATTACCGGCATTATGATTTTGTACACCGTCTTGTTGATAAGCATTTATGAAAATGCTTGTCTGCGGAGGAGGAAGGGCGGGACGGTGAACATTAGAAAAATTGTCCTGGGGTGAATTGCTACCGTTATACTAATAAATAAAAATAAAGCTACTGAGCCTCTTCGTTATCAGTATTTCTTTAACACAATTCGAAAACTGATAGAATTTACCATCAACTGCGTATCCAACTTTTTGACTCGGGCTTTACACGGAGAAACAAAAAAAAAAGGGAACGTACATTTTTTAACTGTATGATTTGTCAATTATAATGAAATGAAAATCTGTGACCAACAAAGTTCCCTAACTCGGAAGTTCCGTTGGCTATCAAATTAGAATACCCCGAATAGTGCGATTACCAAGATTTATAAAAATATGTCGATACGAGAAAAAACCAAACTTCGGATTTCTAATAACCTATCGCTATATGACTCAGCCTCTAAAAGCCTGATCTTTTTCCAGAGGTAGTATTTAAAAAGATCTAACTGTATAATCAAAGTTATAAATACAATTTGTTTTTATATAGTACTGTATTTTAATATTATTAGCACTTTATTATATTGTTATATTAGCATATTTTAGTATATTTTATTAATATATTTATTAGTTAAACTGTACTAGCAAAGTTGTTAGTATATACAGTATTAGACTTATTAGTAGAATTTTCCACTTTTCTAACTTTTCTAATAGTATTAGTACTATATTTTTTATACTCTTTATACTTTTACTATATATACTGTATACTCTTTATACTTTATACTTTTATACTCTTTATACTTTCTAGGCTTTTTAGCATATTTGTTTTTTTTTTGGTATTAAGATGATCTCTTTGGCCTAAGGAACATTTTATTAAAGTTTAATTTCAGTTACAGTAAGAGTACATCAAGCCACATGTACACTTTTGGTATCTAATTTAAATAGTTTGTCTATTAAGAGTTCTATACTATCTGCTATATCTACAACCCAACTACAGAGTTATTTATTTAAACCCTCTGATTATAATCTAATTTTAAGCTAATAAGAACTCTAATTTTAGAAATAGCTTATTATACAAAAATAAATTTTGTTATTACTATATATTTACCCAATTAGATTTTGTACTCTACAGTATTTTAGAATTTACTAACCTAAGCTAGTATATTTTTAAGATAAATCTAACAAAGTAGTATATATCTTATATATATATTTGCCTGTATGTTTGGTAATTTCTATCTAACTAGTATATACAGTATTATACTGCTATATTATGTTTATGTTTTATACCATTCTTTATAATATTGCTATTTCATAGTTAGGCCAGACCAATTTAATTCTTCATTTAACATAACCCTCTCTCCTCTATTTTTCAAAATTTATATGAACCCAATACACATTAATAGTAATTAATAGTATTTACCCCCTCTTAATTTTTTAAATTTTATATAACCAACACATATTAAATTAACCAATAAAATTATAGTATTATTATTATTGTGTTTTTTTTGTTCCCTTCTCCCCACTTTTATAAATTATTTAATGCTATGTTAAACAAAGAATCAATTTGGAGTGGCCTTACTTAAGCCACAACCTTTCTAATTAGTTGTTTATTATTTACTTTTTGCTTTTGTAAGATTTACAGCAATTCTAATATCTATATTCAAACTTTTTTTTTTTTTAGATTTTTTATTAGTTTCTCTTTTACTTCTAGCTAGCAACTTGAAAAAGTTAGTTTGCTTAAACTTTAGATACTTTATAATTTCTTTTTCTTTGGTATATATTTTTGAAGTACATGTTCTTTTTCTCTAGTGTATTTAAATTAGCAGCTTGGCTAATATATTTTTCTACTTAAGAATTTAATTATTTAGTTTAGTAGTTGAACCTGAATAGGCATTACCCAGGTCATCTGCAAGTGAATTGGGTATTAGGTTGCAGTTATATCAACCTAGATAAGAAGTAATAGGTCTACCTGTAAGACCCTAACAACTAATTTTTTTGTATCATTTTTTGGAGCTTATTTTTTATTTTTTTTTGTACTTATTTGTTACTTATTTGTAACTCTTTTGTCATTCTTTTGGAATTTTTTCATTATTCTTCATTGTTTTTTTAGTGGTTTTTTGATTGTTCTTTTGATAGTTTGTTTTTTTAAATACTTTTTCATGTTCTTTTTTTTTTAAATTAATAATTTTTTTTTTGTTGCTTTTTCAGGATTTTTTGTCATTTTTTTGATGCTTTTCTGGTATTCTTTCATTACTTCTTTGTAGCTCTTTTGTCATTCTTTTAATGGTCTCTTTATCATTTTAGTGATACTTTTTTTACATTCTTTTGGTTCTTTAGATCAATGTTAGGTTAATGTTGAGATCAACATTGCTTAACTTTTTAGATAGCACACCCACAAAAATTATTTACCCTGTAATTTTTACTGAGAATTCAACGTTGTAGTTTGGGTCTGGGTTAGGGTTAGAGTTAGGAAGAGCATTTTTAATTAGGTCGCAGAGGATGGTTTTCTAATTTAAATTTTGTTATTTCTGCTATTATTATTAATTTTAATAATAAATAAAAATAAAGTATTTTTTTTCGTTTTAACTCAACTAATTATTCAAACTTTCCCATTACTTCATACTTACCTAACGTCTAACATCACTGATTGATCACTTGATCGATCATTAGACCGAACATATTCGGAGATATCGCATGTTGGTCTCGTGATGATTCGATACAAAAGCTGCTTCGATACTTACGTATCGAGCAGCTTTTTGTTTTGTCTCATTTTTGGTGATTTACTACATACATTTTGGTGTTCCTTTCTGCTATTCGAGCATCAACATATCAATTTTTTTAAATAGTATCCATAGATTATAATTGAGTTTTAAATTAAAATTCTTTCATATAATGATTGATAATTTTGTTACAGTATATGCAGAAAGAGAAAAATATCTGATATGAAAAATTAGGTAATGTAACTAGGCCTTGAGTTGTTTAAAAAGAGTTAGAAATGTATTATATCTTACTGGCACGTTATGAATCAGTTCTAGTATAGTTCTTGTGCAATTCATCAAATATTTTATTAATTTCATATTATAATTATAGAAGGAATATCATTTATCCACCCGGGTGACCCGCGGGTTTACCCGGGTCATGATTTTTCAGACGGGTCCAACCACTATTCTGCACGACCACGGCCACGTCCATAACCTCTAAATTCGGGCCTAAAGTCACCTGAAGCACCCTCCTTTTTACCTTCACCCCCATCGTCGCGGCGACGGTAATCGCGATCAGAACGGCTTTGTGGTGGTCGATAAGCGCCACCTTCTCTACCTCCTTCCACATCTGTTAAATTGTTAAATTGTAAATTATTTCAGCGATCACGAAATGGTTTCAAATGATTTAAATTAATACAATATAATCTCAACTAACCAGGACGTCTAGTACTGGATGGTCTAGCCTGTTTCTTGAATGTAGCAGGAACGATTTCTTGAGGAAGATGTAAATACTCCCTTAAATATTCAATTCCTTCATTCGTTAAAGAGTAATAATAATATTGCCATGAAAATTGTGTCTTCACATAGCCTTTGGAATTGAGACTCTGGCAAGCTTTAATCACATGAAGATTTGGAACATCGATGTCCTGATGTTTAGGAGCATTGAAGTCTTTTTTTGCGACCAATACACCCTCTACAATTTGTACATTATTTCAATTAGGAGCAAGGAAAAGTTATATCACTGATTTATAGAAATTAAAAAAAGACGAAGATGACAACAAGAATACCACTGACCTTTGAAAAGACTTTCATAGATACGTTTACGATTTTGCTTCGGAATAAGCATCCTCACTATTTGTCTGTTAATAAACATTAGTCGATTTACAACTTATATATATTTTTTAAGATTTATTTTCAACCATGATCAAAGTGTTTTATATCCATTAAAGCAAGTTTTCTAAAACTTCTCAATGTTTGAGGTAGATATCAGAAAGGTATGGGAGTAGTAAAGCACACACCTTTTCAACACGAGGCAGAAGAGGGTGAATCTACTCTGTTAGCGAGAAATTTTATTCTGATCAAAGTACAAATCTATCCAATCAGAATTCAGCATCTGTTTATGTGATAAAAAAAAAAAGTTTGGATAATTACTGAATTACGCAAGGGATGTTCGCTTTCTTGTACATACAAAGATGTCCACAAAAAATGCTAGTGCAGGCTTATGGAGCACTTTGGAACCAAAATTAAGTCCCTTCATGTATGCCAATTATTAGTTCTCTTTTTATATGACTCATCAAATAACGGCCTTTTGCTGTAATACCTTTTAGTTTAGAAACCTTGGCCACCATGGGGTTCACCGAAATGACACCTGTACAAGCAGGAGCCATTCCGTTATTTATGAAAAATAAAGACGTAGTTGTTGAGGTAGTAATGGCGATAACTTATTAATTTATGAATGATAGATCTTTATCTGAAGAGAAATTTGGTTTAAGCTAGGCTGTAACTGGCTCTGGAAAAACTCTTGCATTTGTCATTCCAATTATTGAAAAATTAGTACGTCTAAAAAAACGATTTGCCAAAAACGAGATAGGTGCTTTAGTTATAACTCCTACAAGGTTTTTATTAATAATTAACTGCAAGAACTGGATGTTATGTGTTTATGATTTAATAATTCGATCAATTCTTTTAAATAACAAAGAGAATTGGCCCAACAAATTTCATCAGTATTTTCGATATTCCTTAAAGACTCTGTGACACCATTGCTAAAGCATGCTCTCATAACTGGAGGTACAAGTACGCTTCAAGATGATATTTGTTACATTAAAGAATTTGGGCCGGATATTCTAATAGGAACTCCTGGGCGACTGGAGGATTTGCTGGTTGGTAGAGGTGCCGCAAAAAATCACGTTAATACTAAAGAATTGGAAATTTTGGTATTAGATGAGGCCGACAGATTATTTGATATGGGATTTTCTCAATCTCTAAACAATATTATTGCACATCTGCCTAAACAAAGACGTACTGGATTATTTTCCGCAACGATGACCGACGGGCTTGCTGAGATTGTACGCGCTGGTTTAAGAAACCCAGTAAGGGTTATGGTTAAAGTTGAAGATCTTGTATCTAAAGATGTGCAACGAATTCCTGCAACGTAGGTATTTTAAGTAATAGCTAGGAGAAGAGAAAAGTAATTAATTTGTTATCACATGAAAAAAGACTTCAAATAGGATATATTTTGTGTGAGCCGCATCAGAAATTGGCACAGATTTTACGATTGTTAACGCGTGAGACCACCGCAAAAAAATATATAGTTTACTTTGCAACGTGTGCGTGTGTCGATTATTTTTTTAAGGTATTGCATATTAAGAAAAAATTTTCATCATATAATGATCGGAATCGATCTTGATCGATTAGCTGATTAAGAATGGCCCAGTTTTAATCAAAAACTTGATAAGGTTCCAATCTTAAAATTTTAAATACGTAAAACACATATGTCTCAGTCTGTTTAATTTTTAGATATTCTCGAAAATGCCGCAATTGAAGGGTATTTCAATTTATTCGCTTCATGGAAAAATGGATGCAAAAAGACGAACAGGTTGTGTAATATATGATATTGCAATTACATTTTTATTGTAAAAATATTTATCTATGTTATTATTAACGATTCTAGCAACCTATCGGGCATTTTTGAACCTTCCACCAACGTCACTGGCGCTTCTTTTATGCACAGATGTCGCTGCACGAGGGTTAGATGTGCCTGATGTAGATTTCGTGATACAAATGGACCCTCCTCAAGACCCTAAAGTTTTTGCTCATAGATGTGGTAGAACTGCACGAGCAGGAAAAAAGGGTAAAGCACTCGTATTATTAGGTCATGGAAGAGAGGAAGTTTATGTAGGTTAGCATCCGATCATTTTTAGGGCTGTCGGTTAAATGTTGACACTTTACAGTCTAACTTTAGTGTATGTTGAATTTTTGTGATAGATTTTTTAAAAATTCGTAAGATTCCCTTAAAGCGATTGGCGTATATTTTACCTGGTGATAAGGAATTTAGCACAAATTATCTATCGATAAACGATGACGATTTAATAGCACAAGATCCTGTTTTTGACGATGATAACGAGGTTCTTTTGGAACAAATTCGAAAAATTGTTTTGACGGACAGAGACTTGCATGATAAAGTATGGTTGTTATATATTAAACTTAGTATCACATAAAAAAAAAAAAGGATTCATTTGTTTTTTCAAATTAAAAGGGGACTAAAGCCTTTGTGTCATATGTTCGTTCATACTCTAAACACGAAGCAAACTATATTTTTCGATTAAGGGATTTGGATTTAGGAAAAGTAGCGAAAGGCTATTGTTTATTGAAGGTATGTATAAATCTTCATGTATTAGAGTCAAAACGCGACCCACTCACGTGACAGGCATTTCATCTGTCTTAGCTACCTAAAATGCCGGAATTAAAAGATATCAAGATTGAATTTGAAGAGGCTAGCGTAAATGTATGCTTTACGTTAAAAGTATTTTTTATTTCTATCATGTTAATTGAATAAACAACATTGTTACCGGGTTATTACTTTTTCCAGATGGACGAATACAGATATGCAAACAAAGCACGTGAGCAAAAGAGACTGTCGAAATTGGAAAGCGATAAATCGAAATTGAATATCCAGCAAGCCAGGTATTTTATTTTTATTTTTTCAGGGTTGGATTTACAGGGATCGTTTATACTTAATGCATCTTCTATTCTGTAGTCACCAAAAAAAAGTGCTCAAAGGTCCGTGGTCGGAAAAAATAGCTGCCAAACAACGCAGGGTTGAACGAAGAATCAAAAGATCAAAAAAGAGAGAATATTTAAAAAAACGAAAGGCTGAAGAGATAAATGGATCATCCGATACTATTAACAAGAATAAAGGTGTAGAAATATATTCTGAAGATGAATGGGAAGAATTACAAAAAGAGGAAAGGCTGGCGAAGAAGCTTAAGAAGGGTATAATTAATCAAGAAGAATTCGAAAGAGCGATGGGATTAATGAACAATGGCGAGATAGAAGTATGAATGACGAAAATAGATATGTTAAGGCTGGTTATTTATATATCTCTAGTATTACTTTTAAAAGTTATAACTCTTGATCTAGATTAATTACACTTTGTGAGACGAACATTTTATCATGGTTTTGAAAATTTACGTCAAAGAGGATGAAAAATGTATGTATGTATCAGTTTATAATAAAGGCTTTTATAATTTATAAATTTTCACGTTTTACAAACAATAGGAATAAATTCATACATTGTCAAATTCTGATAATAATACTTTAATATTTTTCTGCTCTTTGTCGTTTCACGTACATTATAAACGACTTGACGTTCTTGACACAATGTCTTGATTATAGAACCGCAAAATACAGTAAAACCTCTATAAGTGCACGCTCTTGGGACCAAGCTTTAACAACGTGCACTTAGAGATCAATAAGAGAAAGTGAAAGTGCATTTATAGGGGGCATGTATATATTTGAGCGTGAATTTAGAGAGGGTGTGCACTTATGGAGGTTTTACTGTATAATCTTATTTAGTTAAATGTGAACGAACTATAAGTGTTCTTGTTAGTAATATATCCAATATACAATCTATCAGCATGACATTTATAATAGATGCTTCTAAAGTTTGTAGTACAAGATAATTTGTATTGTTTAATCATTCTTTTTAAGTCTCAAATTACTATGCAAGCATTCGAAAAAAGGTTTCTCCCAATAAGGATATCAAATATATAAGGTAATCTTCTGTAATACTTCTGATCAAACGCATTAAATAACAAAAGTGGAGTAGATCGACCAAATGTCAAAATGTTGTCAAAAAGTTAAAAAAAAGCGCGAAGTACAAAATTCGAAATTTGTATAATCACTATCTGTTTAAAAATCAACTGATATGGTAAAAGTGGCGTCTTTAATTATTGGACTACTTATTTCGATCTTGAATTCAAATTTGGTAACACACAGATCTTTAAGTGGAAATTACTTGTATTGATCTACGATTCGTAATACACAAAATCTTCGCTATCACGAAAAAGTGATAAATTTATTTTGTTATTAATTTTTTTTTTTCTTTTTATTGCATACAAAAAAAAGCATAATCCATCCAGGCATCGTACAAAATTCATTAGATTTTTTCTACCTTTCGCTTATGATTTTCTTTCTTGCGTTTATTCGATCTTAACGCAAACCTTCTACTCGCCGAAAAAAAAAAATTCGTAAAAAATAAACCTTAAAATATTCGAGCACTAGTTATTATCCAAGTTATTAACTAGTACTTTAAAAAAAAAATAAGGCACTGAAACGACGAAAAAAAAAAAAGGAAATTGTTCGGTAAAAAGAAATTTTTCTGTACAAAAATTCAGATTTTGTCAAAGAAATTGCCTGCCACTAATACTTCAAATATTCAAAATGTTCAAGATATAACTACCACGTTCTGCAGTTGACATATAGCGAGTATAACAATTCTCAAATAAAAGGCGACACTCCTCGGTTATAATTTTGTTTTTTCTCTTTTTTCGTTTTTTTTTCTTTTTTTTTGCTTTTTTTTTCTTTATTTTTTTATTTTTTTTTGTCATCAATTTGTCAAAATTGTGTGAAATCAATCTCTCGGATGTCTTCCATCTTCACGATTACATCGGCGTGAAGTACGCCATGAATTACTTTTCTCACAGGATCTTCGGGCATATATTCTAATTCGCCATCAGAACTTTGTAAAACAAATTGCTTGCCTGGTGGAGGTGGTCTCTTAATCGCAAACGACAAAAGCGAGGCGAATGTAGTCTTATCAGTAATAGCAACATTTTGTTTATACACTCTATTCGGTGATCGGATAGTAACAGATTTTAGTTGTACGAACGTAGGTGATGGTGTTGAACTCTCTGTATAAGATATTATCGATATGCACAAATATTATTAAAAATTTTCGAGAAAAAAAAAGATATATACGTGAATACATACGCGTACCTGGACCTGAATTGAAATCGAGGCCTGGGATTTGTGGTAATCGCGGAGGGCTCTTCCGAGGAGTAAGAGGAGCCAAAGGTACTGCTTTTGATGATGTTGCATTAGTATCTGATACCGGCAAAGGTTGCATTGTAGTCACTATTCAAAAACAAACAAACAAATAAATCGAAAAGCTTTCATCAATTCAATGAAAGTGCAATAAAAATGCAATAATCACGTTACCAGGTGTTACGCTACGCTGTTTAGTATAAACAACTAATTGAACTCCTGCTTCCCGTTGATAATCATCCCAAAAAAATTTTAGGGCCCTATCATCATTCAAAGCATAATGTAGTTGTTCTTTATCCAAAGGATTTTGATAGTACACAACGGATAGGTCTACTTTTCCCCATTTTTTCGGAAATTTTGCGTTCGAAATATTTATGTAAAGTTGTTGAAGGGCATTATTAGGTTCATTATTTGGATCTATGTTTGTGACAGAAATTTTAATTTCACGTTCGAGTTTGATTTGGGGTGTCTTCGAAACATCGAAGCAAACAAGTGTAACTGATGACGAAGAAGCTATCTCTAGTAATTGAATCGCAAAATGAATCGCAGAAGGTTAAACAAATCAAGATCAAAAATTTTTGAGAAATACATTGTGTAATCGTAAATATAAAATACGATACCATTAACGTCTTCGTGACTTAGTTCATCACTTTCTTCATCACCAGGTGTTAAAGTGGTTTTACGTGTACTGTTATATTTTTCTTCAATTCGTACCAATTCCTCCAAAACTTCACGCATCATAGGTTCAAATTCTTGAGAGTCCCACCCATGTCCAAGAGCCATGTTGTAACTTTCAATATGTTGAAAGTACTGGTCAAGAGAATTTGCCTTTATGGTTCCCTGCTTTTTCTTGGCATCAATATATTCTTGTAAATATTGTTTTGTTACAGGGAAAAACAGCTCCACTGTAGGGTGAACACTCTTGAGCACGTTAACATAGTTTTTGACACCACAACGTGAAGCTCGAGTGGTAAGACTTACGGACCTTTGGCGACGACGTGGTTTTGAAATATGAAGGTGTTTACGAGTGGCCGGCATATTCTTGTTTTTTTTTTGTTTTTTTTTTATTTATTTTATTTTATTTTTTAGGCCCTTTTTTTACAGACTTGTATACAATAGAATGCTGTCTTTGATATTTGTTGTTTGCGGGGTGTTTGATTAGGCAAAAGTTAAGTTAGGCGTAAAGTTATAGTAACAACCACTCTAGTTTTTTTATGTTAAAGAACAACTTTGAATGACGGAAAGGTTGGTTAAAGACATGAAAAGTTTTCAAGAGGGGTGAAATCTCCTCCCTTGGGAAAAACGCCACCCCGCCACGGATAACAATTGAACAATAGGGATAACAGAGACATTATTATCTGTTTAATGTTAATATTTTGATTCAAAATAAATTAATAGAGTAACGTCATTCAACTGATGACGAAACAAACTTTAAAATCAAGAAAATCCATGATGATCTGTTCACAGCAGTTGGTTGTTACTTTAACGTGTATACTGTGAAACTGTTTATGTGACAAAGGAAATATTCAAATAAAGGTTAGAATGATTAAAGTCTCACGCACTCTCTATGAAGCCCATTCTGTTTCAATAGATTATTTATTTTCGTATGACCAATAGGTTAAAAAAGATACGATATACAAGCCATACTAATCTATTTATAAATTTAAATATTAAATATTTTATTTAATATTGTATTTTTCTCCTCTCATCACGGAAGGAAATGGCAATTCCGATTCCTTGCGTGCATTATAAATAATGTGAATCATTCATCTGAACGAGAGGTGTACAGTACAAAAGTAGCACAAAATTTTTGAATAATCACAGGGTTTTTTGAGTGCGCGAATCTTTAATATTGTTCTCTTTCAAAATATTCTGAAATAGACAAAAATGCAACCAAAAGTTAAGTGTATGAATGTCAACGAAAGCTAAGGTGCATCCCCGCGGGAAAGGTAGACGCATTTAATATTTACGTGAATTCTTGTTTGTACACATATCTGCATAATGTTGACCACTAAGAAAACTAGTATTTTTTTTTTTCACGTTTAGTACATACAGTATCAAAGAGTGATTTCATTGAACAATGTCAATAGCAGACAACAATAGCGAACCATTGTGTTTATTTATGGATGATAACATCTGTACTTCTTTATTGCGTTGCGCCCTTGTTTAAATAATAACTTTTGGTCGCTGATCAACGATTGAACATAAAATTGTTCCAAAATATTTTGCCACAATCGTCCAAATGTCGAAACATAACAGGGAATATAAAGATTAAAAAAAGAATTTATGGTTCGGGAAACACGACAATTGTTTTATCAAAACATGGTGGCACGGCGTCCACGAGTGGTGATCTTACCGTTCTATTTTAATTGCGCTCACACAATTTTGCAATATATATTTTCTTTCTTTCATGTAGTATCACATATACATAATGTCATATGGTGTGTCTTATTTCAACAAAGGGTCAATATAAACGAGTCAAATGTTATACCTGATGTTGGGAACGCCTATTACTAATTAGGACTAGGGGGATTTCTAAAGAAATAAACATCACGCACCTCCACGCGCAAAAATCACTATGTGAATAAAAAAAAAAAAAGATTATTTAGCATAATCACATGATCTTCAAAAATTAGAAAAAATATATCCTATTTGTACTAAGAAATTATGCCCATAAAAGGTTTAGACATGCTTCTTGACCAGATTAATTATGTGATTATCAAAAGCCTTTTTGCTAAATTCATTGAGGAAAATAGGAAAAAATTGAAAGCAACACGAGGATTACGATTCTGTGGCTTGATTTTTCATGACCGGTAATTGTTCACGTGATATATCACTTCGCTTCGCTTCCTCCATTGTAACGGAATCACGAGATCAGAAATATTGATTGCAATACTCCTTAAGCATTTTTAAGGCTTTTTTAACGCTATCGCTATTGATTTTAAAATTTTCGACTTTTTACTATGGTATATACGCTAATAGACAGACTTTTTTGTTTCATATCAGCGTTTATTCT